CATTCCGAGCCCTTGAGGTTCATTGCTGCAGATGTCACCCGCCTCCATTTATGTCCCTGCTTGGCCTTCTTCAGCATTCCGAGCCCTTGAGGTTCATTGCTGCAGATGTCACCCGCCTCCATTTATGTCTCTGCTTGGCCTTCTTCAGCATTCCGAGCCCTTGAGGTTCATTGCTGCAGATGTCACCCGCCTCCATTTATGTCTCTGCTTGGCCTTCTTCAGCATTCCGAGCCCTTGAGGTTCATTGCTGCAGATGTCACCCGCCTCCATTTATGTCTCTGCTTGGCCTTCTTCAGCATTCCGAGCCCTTGAGGTTCATTGCTGCAGATGTCACCCGCCTCCATTTATGTCTCTGCTTGGCCTTCTTCAGCATTCCGAGCCCTTGAGGTTCATTGCTGCAGATGTCACCCGCCTCCATTTATGTCTCTGCTTGGCCTTCTTCAGCATTCCGAGCCCTTGAGGTTCATTGCTGCAGATGTCACCCGCCTCCATTTATGTCTCTGCTTGGCCTTCTTCAGCATTCCGAGCCCTTGAGGTTCATTGCTGCAGATGTCACCCGCCTCCATTTATGTCTCTGCTTGGCCTTCTTCAGCATTCCGAGCCCTTGAGGTTCATTGCTGCAGATGTCACCCGCCTCCATTTATGTCTCTGCTTGGCCTTCTTCAGCATTCCGAGCCCTTGAGGTTCATTGCTGCAGATGTCACCCGCCTCCATTTATGTCTCTGCTTGGCCTTCTTCAGCATTCCGAGCCCTTGAGGTTCATTGCTGCAGATGTCACCCGCCTCCATTTATGTCTCTGCTTGGCCTTCTCTTTCCAGTTGGTGACACTGAGTGTTTGCAGGTCTGTCTGGATATTATCACTCCATCGTCTTCTTGGTCTGCCTCATGGTCTACAACCATTCATCTCCCTGGTGTATACAGTTTTTTACTTCTCTTTTATCTGACATTCTTTCAATATGCCCCAACCATTTCAGACCAGGGGGAATTACTAGAAGTCCAAGTCCACGTGAAAAAAATCCCAGCCTTTACCAGGGATTGAACCCAGAACCTATGGCACTCGAGGCGGACACCATGCCTCGAGACCATGTAGCCTTCTATTTGCAGCTGTTTGATTCTCATCTTTGGGATGTTAATCCTACAGAATGCAACCTTAGAGACGAGAAAATCTAAAAATCCAAATTAGCTAGAGATTTACCCATCTAACCCTTGACACCTGAAGCAGTAAAACAGAAGTGAAGAAGAAGAAGAAGAAGAAGAAGAAGAAGAAGAAGGTCCATCTATGACCAGGGCTTGGTATGGCCTAACCGGATATCATCTCTATCATGTCTCTTAGATAGTCCTTGCATACAAAAAGGAAAAAAAAAACAAATAAAAACAAATATTACAACTTGCCTTTGTTATATGTTTTGGGAATTTTATTGTATTTGTCATGTCAATTTGTATTTTGTTGTATTTTCCCAGCCACATTGTTGGTATCTTGCTTTATGTGTCCAGCCATGTTGTTGGTAATTTGTTATTTAAGCCCAGTCTTGTTGCTATTTTGTTGTTTATGTCCAGTCTTGTTGCTATTTTTTTTATATGTTCAGCCATGTTGTTGTATGTGTCCAGCCATGTTGTTATTTTGTTGTATATGTTAATATATTGTTGTTGCTATTTTGTGGTATACGTTCAACCATGTTGTATGTGTCCAGCTGCATTGTTGGTATTTTGTTGTACATGTCCAGTCTTGTTGATAGCATTTTGTTGTATATATTCAGCCATGTTGTTGAGGGTATTTTGTTGTATATGGTCAACTATGTTGTTGGCAATTTGTATTTATGCCCAGTCATTGTTGGTATTTTGTTGAATATGTCAAGTCTTGCTGTTGTTTGTATTCTGTTGTGTGTGTCCCACTACATTGTTGGTATTTTTTTGTATGTGTCCAGTCTTGTTGAGGGTATTTCCTTGTAAATGTCCAGTCATGCTGTTGGTATGTTGAGTCAAGTTGATATTTTGTGGTATATGTCTAGTCATGGTGTTGTTATTTTGTTGCTTATGTCAGCCATGTTGTTGGTATTTTGTTGTATATGCATAGTCATGTTGTTGTTATTTTGTTGTATGTCTCCAGCTAAATAGTTAATATTTTGTTACATATGTCCTGTCATGTTACTTATATTTTGATTTTTGTTGTTTCAGCATGTGTGGCTTTGGGTTATTAACTAAGTTTCATAATTATGACATACCGGGTTCGATTCAGAGGCAGATGGTGCTGCTTTGCGTTGATTTTGACAATGATGTGAGGGTATAGTTTTAGAAAGTAATATGTTACTGATCGTAAAATTGCCTAGTTTTGTTTTGGATTAAACCCGAAACCTCTAGCACTCGAGGCGGACATAATGCCTTGAGACCATGCAGCCCCCCTGAGATTGTCCAGTAAAACCTTAAAGGTTACAAATGCTGGAGTGTGTGTGACATCCAGTTGGAGAGACCTCAATTCAGTGATCTTGTGTATCCTTGTATGTAACTAAATATTCAGTAAAGGACCCTTTTCCCACACCTTTAAGGCCGAACTACAACGTCTAGTTTAAGAACGGAGGTTGAGGCAGTCTCTGCTGACTTGAGAATCAGCTGTACAAACATGCCGTGGTTGTAACTGACTCACAGAGCCTGTTGAGAAAGGTGAAAACAGACATGCTTCGTGCAGAGTGGCAAGCATCACTTCAGAGGTCCAGGGTAGTTAGCATCCTTTAGATATTTTCTCCAGGCATGTCTGTGTGTTTGGAAATGAGCAGGCAGAAAGACTGGCTGGCTCTGCACCACTTGGTGGTGAATTGATGTATGACAAGTTAGATATTGTGAGGGCCCTTTAGGAGTGAGTAAACAGTGAGGAGGTGCAGACAGATCTTCTTTTAAGAAGAGTGGTGCTAGGAGGAGTTACCAAGGGATATCGCTGACGCTCAACACTCAGGGAAAGAATGATGTGGTTACTGGTACCATCGAAATTGGAACTCTTCGCTTGCCGCTGAAGATAGGGACTGAACACTCATGGAAGTATCCCAAGTGAAGTGCTGTGATGTCAATTCTTAACTCAACATTCAATATTTAAGGCCGAACTCAGAAGAAGAAGAAGATGAAATCTATCTGAGTTTTTGTGCTTGTACAGGGAATGAGGGCAACATATTGGCTGGCAGGTTTGCTTAGCTAGTCCAGTGCTCACACACTCACATCTCCTTTAATCAATTTATCGGTCGGTCTGTCCCTCCGGGCAGCTACTTAAAGGTGATCATTCTTCTTCTTCTTCTGTCTTTCTATCCTCCAATGGAGCATAGGCCCTCAACCAACTCACGCCAAGTTGTTATATCCTTCGCCATTGCATGGAGCTCTCCCCATGTCCTCCTCATCTTTCTAACTTCATTCTCCAGCTCTCTTCTCCATGTGTTTTTTTGGCCTTCCTTTATTCCTATGCCCCTGTGGGTTCCAATGCAAAGACATTCTAGTTATGCTGTTCTCCTGTTTCTATAATGTTTCCATTATGGTATGGTGACCATTCCATCTTGAAATTACTAAATCTCATTCTGGATCGCAGAGCCAACACAGTAAACCCTAGACATCCAGTTCAACCTTCAAAGAAGTTATAATTGGAGCATCCAAATCGGTTACACTAGTCAGGTGTAAGTGGATGTCCTCACTTGAGGTTGTAAAAAAGTAAAGGACCCTTTTCCACGCCTTTCAGTTGTATTGGGTATATCGGGCTAGACCCATATTTATTTGACCAAATAGCACTTGTTGGGTGATGTGGGCAGCATCACGCCGGCCGCCTTTACCTCCCAGTACTGCACCTTGTACCCACTCAAGGATGGGTCGACCTGGGAGGCAAGGTCATTTTTTTTTAAGTCCGGCTTCCGTCAGGAATCGATAAGGTTGGGACATTTTAAAATAGACACGGGATCTGAAAAGAATACAAATTACATAATTATCTTAAATAATCAAACGATATATAAAATAACTCGATTAACATTTTATATCCAAAACGAATTAGAAATGTGGTATTGCATAAGTCGCGAAATTTTACAAAGCATGGATTATTAGTTGGATTATCTTAACAGCGCTCCGGACACATCCATAGGTACTCAGATCTCCGTTAAGCATATTCATCAGTGTTGTGCGGTTATTCGTGCCAGTCTTATACTGACTTACAATACTTTTTATGCGTCCAGTGTGCCTCTCATGCTTGATGCTTGACTGTGCTGATCTTTTCTCCCAGTTCTCGTAATATTAACAGTGATGTGGACACGCTGCTTTATAAATCCTCTGAACGCCCTATCTCTATTAGGGCATTGACAATGTCTGTGGATCCATAGGCCGGCCATCTGGAACTAGTGCAGATCCTGTCGACCTGTCAGCTCTTTTATTGCCAACAACACCTGAGTACCCTGGGACAAATATGAAAGTAAAATGCATAAATAGGAGAGTTTTTCTGTGACTAAATCCGTTGTCTGGTAGTCTTAGTTTCATCTTCATAGCAAACGGGTCACCTTATCTTTGCTCCGCTCCTGTGCCAACGAAAAACACACAGAATGTTTATCACAGTCGTTTGTGGAAAGATTGACAGACTGCTGTTTCAGCAAATATAGCATACACTCGCATTAAAGCATACGGTAGCCATCCGTTGTCTGCTTATGGAGCCTGTCTTGACCCGCCGGATCAGGCTCGCATGATTTTTCAGGCGCGCACGCACGCACACACACACACACATACACGCGCGCGCGCACACACACACACACACCTAAAGGGGTCGCGACCCATAGGTTAAGAACCGCTGCCATAGAGGATTTGAACCCGGGTCTCTCAGCTCCACATAACATAAACACAAGATTGTTCTGTCCTTTTAAAGGGAAGCTACTCTAGAAAAGATTAAAGTTTACTTTCGATCTCACTGGCAGACGATCATCAAGCCTTTCGTAAAATTTTGTTCTAAAACTTTGCTCCAGTGACAAAGTTAGCAACACAAAACAGACACAATGACAAGTAAGACTCTTGCTAAGAGCTAAATACTTAATCTTGTATAACACTGACATGATTTAGCCATATGCATACAGTAACAAAGTGGTGCATACGCCCTAATGGTGTAAAAGTTTTTTTTTTCAAGGCTGGCTGTTACCTGTTACTATTAGTTTATTACAGTTACTATTATCAGTTAGTAACTACTATTACTAAAATGGTATAATATACCGTATATTATATATATGTTACCACAATCGACGTCTTTGCACATCTGGCATTCCTATGCGTGCTCAGTCCTCCGATGCAGCAGCTACTCCAAGGTACGTCTACTAGTTACTTTAGTCAAATCCTCTACAATAATAAAACCAGCACAGTTAGATAGCTGTAAACAATCTCTTTCCAATGGTACCTCATTTAGGCTTGTATGTCATTTCTGAGCTGAGATATGTAGGTTTTTGTGGAGATGAGATGTAAAAAACAGCTGCTAAAACTTGTGTCCAACAAACAAGAAGTTTTCTCTGCGCAACCAAACTGCAACTTTCGTTTTGGCTTTGTTTACATTGGACTGTCATTGGACAAGATGGCAGCCAATGATGAATGAGACACAGCCACATAATAGCGATTGCCTGAAAAAATGTCACTGTAAATCTAAACAACCACGGACAAGAAAGAAATTTTATACACAAATGTAAAAATGGACGGAGAATTCAATTATAACTAGCATTACCATGTCTGGTAATGTTTAAGGCCAAAGCCAACTTTGAATACTTTACCGCTATTTTCAATCAAACTGATGTAACAGAAAAACAGAGGACGTCCGGCTGTCGTAGACATGCGCTGTTAATCGGGTTCCTTCCCGCTGTTTTCAGCTATTTAGAGTGGGTGAAAATCACACCAATTGCAAAATTTCATGAGAGATTAGGACCCATCCCGAAACCCCAGCCGACATATCCGAAGCAAGTTTCGAACGGTTTCTGTGGTAACAGAAATTGCCAAAAGATCGCAAATTTCCGGACACCGTAGTCGCTACCTCTACTGACTGTTCCCATGAGAAGTTGATTATTGTATCTTCTGTCTTTACTTAGACGAAATAGACGTACTTCACCAAGCACCTAAATCCTCGGTCATGCAGTTGTGTTAGCCTCAGAGATTCGCCATTTTCCCCCAACCTGGTGTGTACAGCGTTGATGATATCAGCTTGATGACGACCAAAACGTTTCCTTCCTATACAGTTCACAGCTGGTGAACATGAAGAAAAAGAAGAAGAACTACGTACTCTAAGGTGTCTAAAAGAAGTTACTGGTACTTGCCACAAAGTGTCTGCTTCAGTAGTGCTGAAAACAGTGATACCTAAACAGGTGCTGGTATTGTGTACTGTAGCATACCACCAGAGAAAAAAAACAACTTCTCTACAGTTCTGGCTTATTTGTTTTCAGACTGTTGTTTTCTCACCTCTCAGGCGAATGTACTCTGATTTCAAAGTAAATGTGGATCCTATCTACTTTGGTCAGGCCTGCGGTTTAGAACCCGTTTCTAGGTTTATCGCAAATATGCAGCCTAACCGACATCACCCCTGCTGCAGAGTTGATACCTGTGCCTCATGCGTTTATTTTTACATTTTCCTGTATTACCACACTGAACAGGCGATGTAGAGAAGAGAATCCTGTTGCTGTTAATGCAGAGGTCAACGCTCTCATCAGTAAAAATTTAGATGAAGCAGATGCACCAATCTACACGGACGGATCTGTTATATGCCCCCCAAAAAAGCGCATGGGCATTCACAGCACGCTAAGTTGGCAGAACAGTCAAAGAAGCCAATGGCGCTTTCTCCATGACAACCAGCAGCATGACGATGAAGGTGTTGGCAATGACGCAAGCGTTCGCCTGGCTCGGAACACAAAACTACACCCGCGCATGTATACTCAGTGATTCAATGAGTATGATCCGGAGGGTTCAGGCAGGTTCGGTGCGAAGACAATGGCTTGAATCATTACAGAAGTCCACTGTGCGTGGAGTCATCTTTATTTTTGTTCTGGGATACGTAGGCATCGATGGAAATAAAAGAGCTGATAGATTGGCTGGATCCGCTATCACTACCGACAGTCAGCCTATGGATCATGCTGATATTAATAATGCCCTCAGAGAAATGGGGAGGATAGAGGACTTTGGGGGCAGTGAATCCACATCATTCGCCAGAATGGCAGACTTGGGAATTAAGATCAGCATAGCAAAAAACGAGACGCACACCAGACACACCAGAAGATTTGTTAATCAATGTAGAACTGGTACTGTTAGCCATCGGACTTTGGGGTTCATACTGAGGGGAGGATCTAAGCACCTGTGGACATGTCCAGAGTGCAATGATGATATCCTAACTAAATAACTAATTCTAGATTCATCATGATAGTACTAGTAGTAATTTTTCAAAAATGTCTTGTTCAACCCTCATGGTTATAATTAGGATAATAAAGTTAGTTGCGTATCCTTTACAGGACGTTTTAGAACCAACCCCAGCATTATTTGTCTGTTGTGGTTTTTCTGGGGCAATAGTAGTAGTTTGCCATTGCTTCATGAACGGTCAGCTCTTGGTACCACTGTCAAAAACCAACGCAAGACAAATCGTCCGCAGCGTGAATCGAACGCGGTACCCCGGCATTACGAATCGCGTTAGCAACGCCTAAGCCACAGACACAGACATAATTAAGGTGTATAGTGTTACCTGTATTCTCAGAGTATATATTTATTATTTTATATTTATGTATCATTTAAAAATATGTATAATCAATATTTAATGTTCCATATTTTACTTTGACTTGAGTTGTGATTGTGATAAAAATAGTACTATGAATAGTTAGACAATCTCAAATTTAGCATTTTACGCAAGTCACTAATAAAAATGTTAAACATTAATTTATCTACATTAAAACAAAATAGTTCAAGGCAGCATTCAGTAAACATAAACAGAGTAAGCATGAAATGGAATAAGTTCCCTGGGATCTTAAAAATATAAGTGTATGACTTATACCATGATCCTGTATCGTCATCAGAATTCTAACATCGAGGTTAGGGGCAAATGTCAGAATAGTAACTTTTTTGGGTTAGTTCGACGTTAGTCTCCCCAGACCATGCCCATATACACACTAGCTCACTTCTAATTGGTAGTTCCTGAGCCCCGTAATCTTCGCACACGGTTACATATTGTTCCGCAATGCCGTTGTATCGCGTGTTGTATATTTCAGCCCGCCAGCGCTTTTAACACTCCAAAAACATTGAAAAACTTGGTCTAACACAGTCCCCCTAGAGAGTGCTGCAACCTATGTCACAGGCATTCTCTTTCCCAGAATGAAAACTTAAATGCAAGACAACGCAGAAACCAAACAACAGAGAGGGACACACCCGTAACCTTCAGGAAAGTTGACCAGCCCAAAGAACTTGTAAAAGAAAAGTGACCTACTCTATTTAGGGAGACCTTTTTTAAAAAAAGAAAACTCACTTGAATACTACTTGTAATAAATATTTAAATGTGCAGCGCTAGCGACAGGCGAATAGCTGTAGCCAGACAGTAATAATAATAACCACATTACTATGGCCAAAACACTCATAGTAAATAAATCTCTAGACAAAGCAGAAATGCAGTGGCTATCCTTAGTGAAAAAAAATAGTTACCCCAATTAGTCAAGTTCGCGGTTGCTGACTTCTTAAACGCTGTGCAGGTGCAAACAAAACCAATGGCGTTAACGAGGATTCTCAGGAATACACCAATGTAGAAATGCCGGATATTTGAAAGGTTCACGTCATCTTGTGGGGAAAAGGGTTAAGAGTTTAAAGATAAATGTAAAGTTGCTCGACCCCCAAATGAATTTAATAAATTGTTCGTGCACTTACAGAGTTCAAGCTGGCAATGGTCCAGATGGCAGTTGGAATGTCCAAGTCAGAAAATGTGGCCCACGCTGTGAAGCTGATATCGCAGGCTGCAAGTGCTGGTGCTAATATTGTTACGTTGCCAGTAAGGATTGTCTGCATCTTTTCATGTTTAATTGTCAGTGCTAATTAGGAAGCAAAACAAAAAAAAAAAAAATGACATAGCCTTATACTCCATTTGTACCTGGGACATATGGTGCCAGAAATAGTTATGGGAGAAATAGTTACACTGGAAATAGTTGCAGCAGAAATAGTTGCCATAGAAATAATTACATTAGAAATAGTTGCAGCAGAAGTAGTTGCCATAGAAATAGTTGCAGCAAAAATAGTTGCCATAGAAATAATTATGTTAGAAATAGTTGCAGCAGAAGTGGTTGCCATAGAAATAGTTGCAGCAGAAGTAGTTGCAGCAAAAATAGTTGCCATAGAAATAAATTACATTATAAATAGTTGCAGCAGAAGTAGTTGCCATAGAAATAGTTGCAGCAGAAGTAGTTGCAGCAAAAATAGTTGCCATAGAAATAAATTACATTAGAAATAGTTGCTATAGAAATAGTTGCAGCAGAAGTAGTTGCAGCAAAAATAGTTGTCATAGAAATAATTACATTAGAAATAGCTGCAGCAAAACTAGTTGCCATAGAAAATATTACATTAGAAATAGTTGCTGTAGAAATAATTAAATAAGAAATAGTTGCATAAGAAATAGTTATATTTATCTTCTTCTTAGTGTTCACCAGCTGTAAACTCTGGTGGTAAGTTCTGGTTGCTCGTCCACTACTGAACTTTGGTCTAGAACTTGAGCTTTGCGCGTACATCCGTTATACAGATCTGGCCTGTTTGTATGCAGACTGTTGGTTCCTTGCCTGTCAAGCAGATGTACTTTGGCTTTAAAGCAAACACCCCTAAATAGTTGACCTTTACAACATTCTTGTGGGGGAGGGGGGCAGGGGTAGTGGGTCTGTTCTTTTCTCTCAAAAAGGGCCCCCGGAATCCGCAAAGGAAAAATAATTACATTAAAAAGAGTTGCAGGAGAAATTGTTGCTGCAGAAGGTACATTACGCGATAAACGGCCCACAGTGAGAGTGACTTCCCTTCCTATTGATGCCTCGATCTGGTGTAGCGCTTGCACTATGTTGCAGGGGTTTCAGGTATAGCGAGTCATATTATACTCCTTGTCAGCAGCCGGCGATATCACGTCTTCTAGGCTGTGAGCTTTTAATGGTCTTAAAACATGTACAACAGGGCCTAACCCCAACCCCCCTACCCCACAGGCTCAGCCTATGTCCCACGACTGTATGCAGCCTCTGTTACATACACTCTTGCGACCAAGGAGCACCCCTGCGACATAGTGCCAGCGCTACACCAGATCGAGGCATCAATGGGATAGGAAGTCACTCTCATTGTGGGCCTTTCAACATGATTAGAACCCTGCAAAAATAGTTACATACTCCAGATGCTTCAAATATGACGTTTCATGTCATTCTCTCATCAACAGGAATGTTTTAACTCTCCTTATGGGACAAAGCACTTTCCAGAATATGCGGAGGAAATCCCTGGCCCATCAACTCAGGCACTGGCTGAAGCTGCCGAGGAAAACTCAGTATTTGTAGTTGGGGGTAATTTTTGTGTGTGATCCTTTGTTGTAATTATGTGTAACTGGTGCTTAAAACTTTTTCAACAGCAGCTTAAAAAAAAAAAAAAAACCCAAGCTCCTGTACTTTCCAATTTTTAAATACTCCGTCCCCTCCCCCCCCCCCCCCCCCCCCCCCCCGCCCTGAAAAAATACATATTCAGCAGCCAGTTCTAATACTAATGGTACCAGTCGTAGTTTGGTTATATGTCCGTCTTGCTTTTCCTCTAAGTGTAGAGAGCCGGCCAGACCCTTTGGTCACTCACAGGGGAATCATTCTGACCAGGCTATAATAATTTAGTTTCTCCTTTGACTTCATTACTTGTTCCCAAAGCGCCTTGACCACATCTGCCTTGTCATGTATCAATTCACCACCCAATAGTGCAGATCTAGTCAATATGTCTGCCTGTTTATTCCCCACCACGCCGACCTAACCTGGAAAAGAGATCCAAAGTATGCTCACTACCCGTGACTTTCCAAGACATCTCATAAACATGTCTCTATGGTAGGTCTGAAAAATGGCTTTTTTGGGGAAATGGTACCAACTGGAAGTGTACATTGTGTAGTATCTTGGGGCAAAAGTTTTAAGTTATAAATTATGCCGTGGTGGTCAGAGAAGAAAGCAAAACCTGGGGTACTGATAACTGCAAACATTTCAGGATCACCCATCATGAAATGTATGGTGCATATCAATGTAAGCAGTGGAATTGAGAATGTAATTTATTGTGAGAAAATGCAAGGCAAGCAAGACAGGAAACCAGGGAAAGATTAATGTAGAAGGCTAAAACAGTATGCACGACAAATGATAATTAATACGGAGGGTTCATGTGAAACTCATCCAGATGGCTTTATCACAGAAGCATGAAAGGTGAATCTTACATCCCTTTGACATCTGGGATATTGTCTCCTTGGCGTGCTAGCTGATTGCTAGGGGTTTTTCATATCTATGACATGGATTACATTCTGACTGCGCACAGTTAGTAACCAGTAGACAAGATATCTATTTATATGGTTTATTCAGCTTTCAAAGGTAATCTAGTCTACTCAGTGTCTACTACTGGCTAGCACGGTCCAACGAGAGATGATGGCATTTATCAAGTACAGAATCGCCGTCTACTACCAACCACACTCTTTACCTTTCAGTCCTGTTTCATTACACTCGCAATACACACAGTGGTTGATCCAGCATCTCTGATCATGGCTGTTAGACTCCCTGGCTGGTTGGGTATCGCCGGCTACAACTCCTGGTTATGCTGCCATCAGGTTGTCATCTGGCTGTCCTCTCGTGGAATAGAATCTCTTTCACGTCTTCAGTTACACAATGTCACATTCACCTTCACTCAAATACGACCTTTCACCACAGCTGCCAAACACAAACTAACTGATTAGTTTTTCGTCTAGTCTAATAACCAACTCCCTGGGCTTCACGTGCTGGCCTGAGCACTGTTCGTATATCTTGTGTTTTTATGAGTATACACACGTATATCTCATGTTTCTACTAGTATTCACACATATATCTGGTGTTTCTATGAGTATTCACACGTATATCTGGTGTTTCTATGAGTATTCACACGTATATCAGGTGTTTCTATGAGTATTCACACGTATATCTTATGTTTCTACGAGTATTCACACGTATATCTCGTGTTTCTATGAGTATTCACACATATATCTCGTGTTTCTACGAGTAATCACATGTATATCTCGTGTTTCTATGAGTATTCACACGTTTATCTCGCGTTTCTACGAGTATTCACACGTATATCTCGTGTTTTATGAGTATTCACACGTATATCTCATGTTTCTACGAGTATTCACACGTATATCTCGTGTTTCTATGAGTATTCACACATATATCTCATGTTTCTACGAGTATTCACATGTATATCTCGTGTTTCTACGAGTATTCACACGTATATCTCGTGTTTCTACGAGTATTCACATTCTCATGTATTTATCTTATCTAATGTGTACTCCTATATCATCTTTTAAGAAATCCCTGTGGGAAAATACCAGCCTTACAACATCCTTGCATATATTGTAAATGCAGGTGATAAACAGCAGTGGTGATAAGACGTCTCCTTGTCTTATTCCAGATGTTACTGTAAAGGGTTTCGCTCAGGGCTATTCAACTAAGTTCACTGTGGGGCCAACATTTTAAACATTTTACCAGTCATTTTTTGTGTCCTCCTTCCTTCCTTCTTTCTTTCTTTCATCTCCCTATCCTCTCCTCCCAGTATTTCCCTTATTTTTGTTCTTACTTTATACTGTTGATATCATTTTATAGTTCTAGTAGTGAAAATACTGACGTCTTGAAAGATCATTTGCTGAACCCCAGCATAGAAAGATTATCAAAGCAGTACAGCTGGCAATGAACAGCAGGCCACTTGCCGAGCCTCCGCGGCCAAATGTGACCCACAGGCTGCCAGTTGAATAGCCCTGGTTTAGCTGTTCCCTGGTTTATTTTAACTACACTTCTGCAATGCCTAAATAAACTTTTGCTGTTTGTGGTCTGTCAGAATTGTTAGAACGCTGGGCTCTCAAGTAAGAGGCCCGGGTTCAAATCCTAGGTAAGTCTGGGGATTTTAACTGTCGGGGGCAAAATAAAATCCTCACCTGCACAGTTGTGATGACAGCACTAGCCATGCGGCCGTAAATCCTCAGGCTGAAAGTCCCCTCTGCTTACACCGCAAATGTGGTATAATAAAGACAGTAATTGGAAGTCTTTTGGCTCACTGTGGTTGCTGACTGAACCAAATGTTTGCCGCGTTCATTACATCTGCATCTTTATAAAATTATTGCCCCTGGAGAGTGGTGTCCACTGCAAATACACCTTCTTATATTGCAGTTTCTTACGAACAACCTTTTGTTGGCTGAAAACCACTGTCTTAAAGCTTTTCGATAAGATGTGGTTTGTTGCTTGCTTGTGCAGGTTCCATCCCTGAGAGAGACGGAGACCGGCTCTTCAACACCTGTACCGTGTTCGACCCCAGAGGGGAACTGGTCACCAAGCATAGAAAGGTGGGAACTCTGTTTTCTTGCTTTCTTTCCTTTCTTCCATCTTTCTTTCATTCTTTTCTTACCAGTCATTTTTGTTTGTCCTTTCTTTCTTTCTTTCTTTCTTTCTTTCTTTCTTTCTTTCTTTCTTTCTTTCTTTCTTTCTTTCTTTCTTTCTTTCTTTCTTTCTTTCTTTCTTTCTTTCTTTCTTTCTTTCTTTCTTTCTTTCTTTCTTTCTTTCTTTCTTTCTTTCTTTCTTTCTTTCTTTCTTTCTTTCTTTCTTTCTTTCTTTCTTTCTTTCTTTCTTTCTTTCTTCCTTCCTTCCTTCCTTCCTTCCTTCCTTCCTTCCTTCCTTCCTTCCTTCCTTCCTTCCTTCCTTCCTTCCTTCCTTCCTTCCTTCCTTCCTTCCTTCCTTCCTTCCTTCCTTCCTTCCTTCCTTCCTTCCTTCTTTCTTTCTTTCTTTCTTTCTTTCTTTCTTTCTTTCTTTCTTTCTTTCATCCCCCTTTCCTCTCCTTCCAGTATTTACCTTATTTTTGTTCTTACTTTGTACTGTTGATATCATTTTATAGTTCTAGTAGTGATTTCTTTGTTCAACAGAAAGAACTGGCGGCAACTGTTGTATTTAAAATGGCTTTCCAGCCCATAACTTATTTGTTTGCTTCTGCCATTTACCCCCCCCCCCCACCCCCCTCCCCCCAGTGGAGCAGTGACCCTCAGACACCAGACCCCCTTGTGTGGGTTCTGGGGCCCCATTGTGGGGGTAGTAAAAAAATAAACCCACTGCTTTCTAACAGACTTGTCCTAAAAGTCAACAATTTTTTTTTACTCAGTTGATTAAAAAACCGACATCACAGCACTTGGGGTATTCCCTTAGCTCTCCATCCCCATCTTCAGCAGCCAGCACAGAGTTCCAATAACATTGGTGACAGTAGCAGTCTGATTATACTTCTGTCTGGCCTTTCCTCTGAGCGTCGGATATCGACCTGATCCTCTCGTCACTCCTCCTGCATAACTCTTGGTACTTATCAGTTGTCAGGGGTCAAGAGGCGGCAAGGTCAGAACATGTGTGTATAAATGTCATTAAACTTGCACTGACAGACGTGCTCACTGTTACTTCTCATATTCGCCTCCGACCCCCTGAGTTTGAAAAGTACCAAGTTATAAGTGCTGTCACATAGTTCATTGTTGACACACTCAAAGCATATTAACACTGCAATCATGGCCATGATAACAACAGGGACAAACTGTATCAGAATGTGGTCACAATCCACACGAGAACGTCTGATGTAGATACAATATGTTGAGCTCTGTTACTTTTAACTTTATTATTCTATAATTTCTACATTGTTTTAAATAATTCACCATATTATCTAACTCTATCTAACTCAATAATTAAAACCACTACTCATGCAGCATGGCCACAATGCAGTTGTCCAGACCGTCTACTAGAACGTCCAGGCGACTGTTCTCAGCCGGTTCACAACCCAAGCTCACTTTTCCTTACTTCAGGTAGTTCACTGGCCTCTGTGGCACGTGTGCACATCATGACAATCACACAAATAGTGCTTTAACAACGGTACCCAATTCCTCCATCTCCACCCCTACCTCGATCATGACATTTTCTAACTAATCACCTTACTGACTGACTAACATATTATCATTGTTAATGGTTCCAAAAATGAACATTCAGCATTTGTGTTGTTTCTAACCTGCTCCATATTTTTACCTTCATTGTCCAGGTTCATTTATTCGACATTGATGTCCCGGGAAGGATCACATTTAAGGAATCTGAGGTTTTATCCCCTGGCAACAAGCTTACCATTTTCCAAACACGTAAGATTTCTGTTTACAGTTTTTCCCTCTTGTTACTGTGTCTCCTTTCTCTCTCCTTCCTTTTATCTGGTCTTCCCTCTTTCTGTTTTTATCTTTGCAGATGTGAAGTTCCGGTGCTCATTTTGCTCACCTTACCAGTTTCTGAGCTTGGAGAGGAAGACTGAGAACTGTGCAACATTGCTGCATGTTAACTCATATCGTCGTCTTCTTTGCCCTCACCCGCTGTAAACCCCAGCAGAAAGTTCTGGCTGTTCACCCACCTCTGGACTTTAGATTTTTTCCAAAACCTAAGTGTTACATGCACATCTGTTTTACTGTTGGTTCCTTGTCTCTCTGGCAGATGTGCTCCAATTAGTTAACTCTTACTTACCACATGCTTGTTGGGGAGGCCGTGGGTCTATTTTTGTTTACCCCACAATGGGGCCCCACAACCACACAGGGGAGTTAACTTATATCAGTATGAGTAACAAGTATACCAGAGGTCATCGAAAGCGTGAATGCTCATGAATTTTTATCTTTTGGCTGGCAGAGGTTAGTGCAAAATATACCAGGTCACATGAAGATTGTGAAACAGGTTTTGCTTATAATTCTCGAGTAACTGCGGACATCATGGGAGTTTTGTGGAAGCTGTTCTTCGTGCAAAATATGTCAGGCAACATGAAGCTTGTGAAACAGATTTTGCTTATAATTCTTGAATAGCTGCGGACATCATAGGAGTTTTTTGGAAGCTGTTCTCCGTGGGAGTCCGGATGATTTTCAAAAATACAGTGGGTTTTGTTGGTCACTTGCTCTCAGTCAGTGGAACAGGTTGGACATGCATGAATTGTTCTAGTCCAGTGAAGTACCTGGACATTGATTAATGTTTAAGTTAGTTTGGAACGCTGTCGGTGCAGTTTTTGAGAAGGGATGGGAGATGCATTCATTTTTTGGGACCATGGTTTGATTTTGTTTCTTATACTTTTTTAGCGAAATGCATGGTACATTGTATGTTCAGCTGTTTGCTAGTATCTATTAAGTGGCTCCAGGAGCTGCCTGGAAGCATAGTACACAGAAATATTTGAGATTATAGGCTATTGGTGACTCATAGAGAGAGCACGTAGCTGAGTGTGTCTTTACTGTGGACTCTAATCAGGTTGAGACTGGGTGCCACCTTTTGAGATGATATCAATTTTTGAGACTGTCAGTGTGTGTAAGGCAGACATCATCATCATCATCATGTAGCAGGTCCTTTGCAGAACGTCGCTCTCATCACAGTCTGCCTGAAAGAAACTGTCTCTCGCCAGTTCTCCCGCCTCATGTACTTTCATACTGAAGGAGTCACTTATATCCTGTGCCCATCTTCGTGTCGGTCGGCCCCTGCCCCTCCTTCCTGGTACCATGCCTCCTGCCTTAATTTTTTCCTATCCGTCTTTGTGCTTGATATGACCAAAATATTTCAGCTTCCGTATGGCAGACAGCTAGTGTTTTTTCATTGACTGCATTTTATCATCATAATTTTCCGATCCATTAATGAACCGACATTTCTTCTTCACATTAACTGGCTGTGAGCTCCGGCAGAAATTTTGGATTTTCATCCACTTCTGGTGTGATGAGGAAAGATCGACTTAAGAACGATATCAGGAGGAGAGTCGGCACAGAAGCAATAATGAATTTTTATCGATAGACAACAGATCAAATGATTTGGCCATGCAACAAGATTGGCAACGGAGAGGGCACCACAAAGAGCAGTTTTGTACAGATACAGCGGTAACAGAGCCAGAGGTCGACCGCTCAGAAGATGGACCGCAGAAATATCAGAGACACTGAAAAGTACTTTATATGAAGTGAACAGTGCCTGAGAGGCAAGGAACCAACAATCTGCATACAGTTAAGTCAGATCTGTTAAATGGAAGTGCACGCAACACTCAGGTTCTGGAACAAGACTAAAGTCCAGAGGTGGACAAACAACCAGAACTTTCCACCGGAGTTTACAACCAGTGAATGTGAAGAAGAAAAAGAAATGTGGGCATAAACTTTTCTCTGTTAGATGCACTCTTTCTCCAACATCATGAAAGCTAGCTACTGCAGTCAGGCTAAAGAATACAGTTTTGTAGAGCAACTAAACATCTGTGATCTTTAGTTTTAGTAAAGTTTGTAATAACCACCTGTATGTTCACATTCACACAGCGTACTGCTCTGTTGGGGTGGGCATATGCTACGACATCCGCTTTGCTGAGATGGCCCAAGTCTATGCCAGTAAAGGTATGTTTACGTTGTCTCTTCCTCCGGCCTGTTCTTCTTTTTCCCGTTCATCTTTGTCTTTCTGTTGTTCTAATCGTCTACATATATATGTATGTATGCCTGTGTAGGTTCAAGTGTATGTGTGCACAGTTGCACTTGTGCCAGTATATGCACCTGTATGCATGTATATTTAGCTATAAAGATCAAATATTAGTTTGGACTCCATTATTTGGTTTTTGAGTACATTTTTCCTTCAGAGATCCCTGGGTGATTGTTACTGGTGCTGTGGAGTTTGTACTTTGTGTGACGCTCCTAGCAGTACATCACAGGACAAATTGTGGTACCCAGTTTAGGCCGGGTCGACCTGGAAACCAAGATCATGTCTTTTTTTAACTCTTTGAGTCCCAAGGAACGCATCATACGTTCATATATTCCTACCTAGAGACTCAATAATCGCATGATGCGCCGATTTTACGTCTCTCTTGACTACCCCTAGGGCCTGTGATGCTAAACCCCCTTGGACTCAAAGAGTTAAAAATCCATTTTGATTGTAGTGTTCACCAGCTGTAAACTCCATCGGAAAGTTCTGGTTGTTTTTTCACTTCTGAACTTTAGTGAACCCAAGTATTTAACGGTTGAAGGGTTTTCTGGGACCTCTCCACTGGTGATCCTCATCCGAATGGTGGCACTTTGTGGAGTAAAAAAGATAGCCGATGAGGTCACTTTGTTCCACACGACTATGTTAACAGAACGAATCTGATCAAAGGGAATTAACCGATTTCTTTGCTCCATTTGTATATAGTGCTTATTTCCCTTCACATTGAAAACGGATATGATGACATTCTCCAGAAAAGAAAAAACTACCAATATCAAAACCTTGACTCCCAGGTCAACCCAGCATTGAGTGGACACCAGGTGCAGCCCTGGAAAGTAAAGGGGGCCATCGTGATGCTGACCACATAACCCATCTTGTGCCGATTGGTCTATAAAAATATAGGTCTATCCCTATAATCACAATACGCCAGTGTGGTCGATCATCCAGTTTCGTCCTTTTTAGGACGACATTTTTTGTTATTTGAAGCCCCAATTGTCTGAATTCGGTTTCTGGGACCTCTCCACTGCGATCCTCATCCGCATGGTGGCACTTTGTGTCATCGGGTGTTTATCGCTTGTGTGATGTCCTGGTGGGGTAGAAAGTAAGTCAGTCAGTCATCCTAATACGCCTAAAGGCGTGGAAAAGGGACCTTTAGTTTTATATGACCAATATCAAAATTGATGAACACCAGTTAAAGCAAGCGACAGTTTTTAACTTTTATGGGAGACAATTTTTTCTTCCGAAAAAGGAAAGAATTCATTAAGTCCAACAAAGATGCAATAAAGCCAATCAAGTTTTAGGCACTAAAAGAGCACTGTTCAACACAATTTTCTTACCAACACTGCGCTATCAGTGTCAAACATGGACACTGTCTTTAGAATAGGAGGAAGATAGTCATGACAGAAATGAAATGTTTGCTTACTATGTTAGGTGTAAAGAGGAAAGATCGACTTAGGAACGAGGATATCTAGAGGAGAGTTGACACAAAAACCAATACTTAACTTTATAGGTAACGAAAATTCAGATACCCTGGTAATAGCTCGGACACATGTTGAGAAAACCGGAGAACAATATAACTAGAGTGTCTTTGCACTGGAACCCACAGTGGCATAGGAATAAAGGAAGACCAAAAAAACACATGGAGAAGGCAGATAAAGAGAAGTTACAGGTGAGGACATTGGAAGAGCTGTATGCGATAGCGAAGGATGTAACGACTTGGTGTGATTTGGTTTAGAGCCTGTGTTCCATTATGGGCTAGAAAGGCAGATGAAGAATAAGGGTTCAAAGGCCGCGTTGTATGGAAAACAAGAATAGACCCACTGCCTTCCCAAAAAGCATGTCATTTTAATCGACAAATTGGGAGCTTCCTTTGAAGTCGGAGTACATCTGCCTGAGCGGCAGGGAACGCACACAAATATGCCAGTAAAATGGATGTACATGCAAAACTCAGGTCCTGGCATAACACAAAAGTCCTAATGGACAAACAACCAGGACTTTCTGCCGGAGCTTACAACTGGTGAACAAAGAAGAAGACAATAAAATGAGATGAATTTAAAAGGATTGAGGAAATAAGAGAAATGTCCGGGCAGCCACTAGCATCAACAGTTATAAGACACACCCTGAGAAGAAACCAGCTGAGAACCAGTATTAACCCTTTCGCTGCTACGTTCCCGAAAATAGTTGTCCTCCCTGTGCTAAGCAATGTGAAAAAAAAAGTCTCTGCTGTGCGCAATACTTTTCTATCCTCTAAACGCAAAAGATGCGTCCGCTGTGAGGGCTATGTTTTGTACACCTAAAAAATTTTACCCTGGGGAGTTATGTGGTTGGTCCGAGTGGTGACAAGTCAGAGGCACGATGGTGCCCCACAAACTTGACTAACGGAGCTATCACCCTTCGGGTGGGGAGGGGGGGGGGGGGTATGGGGGAATTAATGGGAGGAACTGTTCCCAGTCTGTATCCCAAAATTTGATTGACGAACCTACCACGGCTGCCACTTTAATCATATTTACTTATAGTCACCATGTTATTACATACCAAATTAATAATAAAAAAAAAAATCATCATAATAATACTCAAGTCGTCCGTTGCTGAAAAGTAACAGGAACTCAAAGGAAAATTTACAATTAATTTAAAAAAAAAAAAAAAAAAAAACTTCGGGGGGTTGAACACACGACCCTCCGATTCTAAGGCGAACGTGATACCAATTACACTATGCTACCGCTTGACGCATTGCGCTGTGTAAATGATCATAATGAATGATGTGCGCAGACTATCAATAATGTGTCTAAGTTTGTAGTCTATCGCCGCCTGCATGAGCACTGTTGTCTAAGAAATGTTTGAGATTCTCAACAATAGTAAAAATATGTCCCTCGACATTATTTTACGGGAGTTTTTAGCAAACAGTCTTTGCTCAAGTACTCTATTTTGAGTTTCTTTGTTCTAAGCATTAGCAGACAGACAGAAAAAAAAAATTAGTTCGTCCGAATCTGTGTCTGTCCATCGGGAAAGACGAGAAATTTTAGTGACTTAACTGTTTGAATTTACAGTAGCAGAAATATAGATAGAGCTGGAGTCATCAAAATCATGCACTACTGGTTTCAAATCATCGGTTCATCAAGACAACTGATCAATTTATTGCCGTTTTGATGCCGCTTCATTGTCACTGCTCTCTGATTCCGACATGAGGACGTCGGACAGGCAAACAGCTTTTTTTTGGACACGCCGGTTTCAGCAGTCGATACTGATTGCCTAGTCAAATCTTCTTGTTCACTGTCAGAAGTACACATTTCAAAGTCATCGTCGCTATCACTTTTGACAGAAACTCCATCAATTCTTCATCAACTTTTAACAAGTTTTCTTGCCATTTTGTACTAAGTGTAGAATAATCTAAAAGCACAAATATATATCAGGGCACAAAATACACAGATCACCGACCACGCTGTCACGGTAAACAAAGCAACGGGATAACGCAAAATGCAGTAAACACACCTTAAAAACGCCTAAAAGTACGTGCAAGTGCTTTTAATCATATGTAAATGGGTCAGTTTTATCTAAATATAGCTAATGTATATTGCCCTTCAGTCAATAAAATACGAGGTAACAGAAATCTGTAATAAAAGTCCAAAAACGGCTTAGGACGTCCATAGCACTGGGGGTCAAGAAAAAAAATAACGTCCAAAGACGGGCGTAGCAGCGTACGGGAAATCGGGAAAAGACGTCCATAGCAGCGAAAGGGTTAAAATGGGAAATACTTTTGAGGTTTCAACAGCGGATCAACATCATGGTAGTAACCAATAAGAGCTCCGTTCTTCTTCCAACTCAAGCCTGAGCCTGAAAAATCTCAGCACAGTACACAGGCTCTGTAGCACCGGCGAGGACGTAAAATATTTTGGGCAAATTTTTAACTCTAAATTTTGCCCCGGCAGAACCGTTAGGCTACTCTTTTTGATTTTCAACTGCCAGGGGATTTTTTGCATGCGCAACAATGCACACGGGTGTCCGATCTCACTACCCAGAGACCAGGGGGAATTACTAGAAGTCCAAGTCTACGTGAAAAAAATCCCAGCCCTTACCGGGGATTAAACCCGGAACCTCTAGCACTCAAGGTGGACGCCATGCCTTGAGACCATGTAGCTCCCTAGAAGAAGAAGAAGACAATAAAATGGGATGTATTTGAAAGGAGTAAAGAAATAAGAGAAATGTCTGGTCAGCCACTAGCCTAGATGTTATATACTAGTTATAAGACACATCCTGAGAAGTAACCAGCAGAGAATCACGAAACAGTATTGAAATGGGAAATAAAGGGATTAAGGAGTGAGGACGAAAAAAAAAGCAACCATAAGATGAACGTTGATGAGAGAGGCCAAAGCTGCTGGAATGGATTCCATCCATGATATTGAACTGATTGCACAGGATAGAGGGGAAAGAGTGAATAGAATGTGAGCCCTTTGTGTCATATATAATGGCACAACACAATAATGAATGGATGAATGAATGAATGTTTTTAAATACATGAAACAATCATCTGCAGGCTGTTCCTTGCTGTTGTATCCTGGTGCCTTCAACATGACCACAGGTCCCGCTCACTGGGAACTCTTGCAACGAGCACGGGCCTTAGACAATCAAGTCTTTGTGGCTACAGCCTCACCCGCCAGGGATGCGTCTGCTGGCTACATCGCTTGGGGACATTCCTCAGTGGTCAATCCCTGGTACTGTTGTACATGTGTTTTTTACGGTCACTGAATAGTGATTAGTCTTCTTTTTCTTCTTCTTCTTTTTGTTCTTCTTCTTAGTATTCACCGGCTACAAACTCTCGCAGAAAGTTCTGGTTGTTTGTCAACTTCTGGCCTTCAGTCTTGTTGCAGTGTATAGATCTGGCTAACTTGCATGCAGACTGTTGGTTCCCCACCACTCAGGCAGATGAACTCCAACATCAGAGAGAAAAAAATCACCAGTCACCTGGTACGGCATGCTTAAGGAGGGAGTTAGTCCTCCCCCCCCCCCCCCACTTTTACAATGGGTCCCCAGAACCCGCATAAAGAAATACATGATTAGTCAGGATTGGCAGCACCAGCTTGGATCTTCTCCTCAGCAGCTCATCATCTTCATCATCATCATCATCCTCTTGTGCCGTTAGACATCACACAGTGCTCACACTTTATTCTTCCATTTCATTATATATCCTCTGTACTTGTTTCAGTATCATGGATGAAATCCATGGTCTTGCCATGTTGTCACTCTCGGGCACACAATGGGACATTTCAATTTAGACCTGGATTATTCTGGAAATGACTAGACACTTGTCTGCACATCTGGAGTAGTGGATCTTGCTTCTGGATGTCATGCAAACCTTTTCTTCCTCTTCTTCTTTGTCTTCTTCATCATCTTCTTCTTATTTATCTTCTTCTTCTTTATCTTCTTCTCCTTTTTCTTCTTCTTCTTTTTCTTCTCCTTCTTCTTCTTTTTCTTCTTCTTGTTTATCTTCTTCTTCTTCTTTTTCTTCTTTTTCTTCTTCTTCTTCTTCTTCTTCTTCTTCTTCTTCTTCTTCTTCATCACCTTCTTTCTCTTCTTCTTTTTCTTCTAGACACAAAATGTACAATAGCAGAATGTTGACACTGTTTTCTGTGTGTGGTTCAGGGGCGAGGTGATAGCAACCACAGATGAGGCCGAGAGCATCGTCTATGCTAACATCGGTAAGCTACAAGTTTATTCTTTGTTTTATTGAAAGTCTGTTGTCCCCACTGATTCCTGTTACAGTGTCAGGATGCATATAAACAGTGGGAGAATGCCTGTTTATGTGTTTTGTATATTAAAGCATAGGCAAAGGTAAAAAAAAAGGTAAAGTTGGGAGATGTGAACCAGTGTCATTACACACGGTTATAAACCATAAGTTCTGTGCCACCCGTACTAACAGCTGATAAGAAACTGTCCGCCTGTATCACTGTCTGCACAAAACTCAGTAGCTTCAGCAACATTCCTTTATTTACCCCAGAGTGTTAACTCTTGTACCCATTTCCTAGAAGCTGGGCGAAACCCGGGAACCGTCCGGTTTTGAACACCGGCTGTGGGCTGCAGCGAGTCGCAGCTGGATTTGAAAGCGAGTCTCCTATCAACTGCATGAACGTGTTCCCTTGGCTTATGAAAGCCAGGGCTAATTGAATGAAGATACTTACATCTGATGCACTAAAGCAGTGTGTCCCAAACTTGTTCTAGTGGTGGCGCCTTATGTTTTATTAAAATTTTTCTACGGTGCCCTAACCTAAGTAAAAGCATGACTATTTGTATGTAAGAGATAAAAAAAACAACAACTCATGTATCTTCAAAAATTTCGTGGCACCCCTGCGAAGAGGTCGAGGCTTTTGGGCGCAGCAGAGCAGTTTGGGAATCATTGCACTAAAGCATTATTGAGGTGGACTCGTGGAAACAAAATGCCATGGACCGGGTTGTGTGGAGAGGGCACATCAGGAAGGGAATGAGAATGAAGAAAGAAATGATTGCAGAAAGGATGAGAGCTGAGCGTCTGAGAAGAAACAGACTAAACACAAATGTTGACAACAGTGGTCCTGAAATCCCATGCCATAATTGTGAAAGACTTTTCTTAATGCAGGCGGGTCTTGCTAGTCACACTGGCTATAGCCATGAGCTGTGTCTCATGTCTCCTCATAGCGCAGTATAACACTATATTGTCTGGAAAGACGGAAAGGTGCCAGTCAGTCAGTTGATCAAATAATCAATCAGCTAGATGCCCTTCCACCCCCACCCTTCTTTGAAAAAAAAATAACAGAAGACAGTCCCAATCAGCACAAAGGAACGTCTCATACACAGCATATACATTCGATGCTACTAGTGCCAGTCACAGTTGTCACGACAAACCATGAAATAGAATTAGCAGACATGGAAATGGGATGTCTTAGACAGGCTGCAGGAGTGACTGACCAGAAGAGATTAAATCAGAAATGAAGTCATGAAGGGAAAGGTCGGCACAGAACTGATTTTAAATTACATACAAAGACAGCAAAAAAAGTGTTTGGCCCCGCAGAGAAAACCTTGTGGTGCTAGGCATACACCAGAAGATAAGAAGGATTTGAACCAGGAGCAAGATGGAAAGATAACATCAGGTTTGAGATTTTGAGTTGAGTTGAGTCAAGAATTGACATCACAGCACTCGGGGCATTCTCTTGCATGCTCTGTCCTCATCTTCCGTAGCCAGTGCAGATGGTACCGGTCACAATCTGGTTAAATGTCCGTCTTGCCTTTCCTCTGAGTGTAGTGAGACGGCCAGACCCTCTGGTTACACCCAGGTGCCTCATTCTCTCCAGGCCATAATAATATTCTTTCTCTACTGATTCCATTGTTTCTTTCAAAAGGGGCTTGACCACAGCTGCCTTGTTATGGTTTTGGACAACGGATCAACATCACGGCACACGGGTAGTAACCCATAAGTGCTTCGTTCTTCTTCTAACTCGTCTGAGTTCAAAGAAGCTCAACACAATGCCCAGGCTCTGTAGCACCGGCAAGGATCATGAAATACTTTGGGTAGATTATTAACTCCAAATTTTGCCCGGGCAGCGCCGTTAGGCTACTGTTTTCTATTTGCCAAGGGATTTTTTATGTGCTCAAAAATGCACACGGGCGTCCGATCTCACTACCCAGAGAACAGGGGTAATTACTAGAAGTCCAAGTCCACGAAAAAATCCCAGCTCTCACCGGGATTGAACCCGGAACCTCTAGCACTCGAGGCGGACACCATGCCTCGAGACCACCATAACATCAGAGAAGTTCTACAACAGCATGATGTTTCTGTGGTCAAAGTGTTCAGAAGAGCAAGGAGTCGAACCTTATATCTCCCTCGACTCTCAAAAGCGCTTTGTAATGCCGGAGTGCCAGGTTCAAGTCCAGCTGCAGATTATTTTTCTTACGTTGGTTTCAACAGCGATACCAAGAGCTGACGGTTTAGAAAGCAATGGCGAACTAATTATTTAAATTTAATTTGCCTAAAGAAACGACAACAGCCACAAGATACTGGGGTTGGTTTTGCAACATCCTGTAAAGGAAACGCAACTAACTTTTAACACTTCCTTAAACTTCTGTAATTTTCTTTAAACTTCTGTAATGTCCCATAATAACAGCATTCTTTTTAATTGTACTTTCAGACCTGACCGAGATGGAAGACGTCAGAAAAATGATTCCTCTGCGCAACCAGCGGCGTTATGATCTGTACCTGCAACCCTCTCTTGTAGAAGACAACCAGGGCAAGAATGACAAGTAATATTGATTCCAGCATCCATGGATAGAGGGGAGTGTGGTCCTGAGAAAAATACAGTAAACAGTAATAAAACCTCTGTGGAAAAAGACCACAGAAGGAATAAGATAAACAGAATTTACAATCAGTTCCAGCAGACCTGTTAGAGTTACCCAGGTTGGAATGATAAGTAAATTTGCCTCCAAAATCCATGCATAGAGGGGATTGTGATATTGAGAAAAATACAATAAACAGAATAAATAAACCTGTTTGAGGAAGAGTACTCAAGAAAGAGATAACAATAATTATAAAATTGCCACTAACATCAATGGATTGAGGGGAGTGGTGTAGAAAGAAAAATATAATAAACAGGTAAATCCTGTCTGGAAAAGAAAGATTGTACAGTCCCCACAGTGTGTCTGTCAAACAGAACCACAAACACCTGAGCACATTCTGCAGACCTGCCCACTCTACCTACAACTTCAAAAAGACACCTGGCCTCAAGAGTAAAGTGTGCAGAGCAAGCTATGGGGAAACCACGAAGGACCTGCTACTGACAGGGGAGTTCACAGAGGCAACCCACCTGATGGTCTGACCTGAGCATACGAAACAGAAGGCAGAGAAGAAGAAGAAGTCTGGGAAAGACTGCTCAAGAAACAAGATAAAAAGAATTACAGGTATTTATTGACACTGATGTTTTGGATGATAATATCTGGACAGATAAAAAGAGTCATGAAGATGTCTTCAAAGAAACTGACTCACGAAGAGAACTGATTATCCACATCAGAAAAAAGACAGTCTACATTCTTTGGTCACATCATGAGAAAGAGAACACTGGAGCACATTGCAATGGTTGGAAGGTTGTAGTGGAAGCTCATCTATGTCAGAATTGATTGAAGGTTCAGAAGGACCAAAGGTTTATGGATAGACATGACTGCATATGTCACCTGGCATAGACTAGAAGAATATGATGTTTTGGCAGTGGAAAAGAAGAAGTATTTTGGAAAGCAAATCCCTGTACAGGATCAATGACCCCCTTTGGCGTGGGGTGGGGGAGGGGGGTTATGAATAGGCTCACTACTTCACCTGACACATGTTTTGTAAAAGGTGACTATTCAGGTATTTCCTTTAAAGTCAGAGTGCAAGGTGAGGAACCAACAGTCTGCACACAATATAAGGCAGATGTGTAAAATGGATGCTCACACGCAATTCTAGTTCTGGATCATGTCCAGAAATAGAGCAACCAGAACTTTCTGCCAAAGTTTACAACTGGTGAGCGCTAGGGAACTAGAGGGCCAAGTTTTTAAAAAAATGGACAGGCCATGGGAGTGGGCTGAAGTGATAACAAAGGGCAGACCGAGTTAGTATGACCTGGTTGAGGGCCTATGCTCCATTGGTGATAAAGGGCAGAAAAAAAATGAAGATACAGAAATAGTTTATTCTGTGCTGTTAAAAAGTTTTTTTTTTTCCTTAGGCTGTTAATCCATATTGTCTAAATGTATGATTTTTTGGGGGGTAAAAAGAGGATCGATCCATATTGTCCAAATGTATGACTATTTGTGTAGAGATGATTAATCCATATTGTCTAAATATATGACTATTTGTTTAGAGATGATTAGGCCATATTGTCCAAATGTATGACTGTGTTTAGAGATGATTATTTCAAATTGTCCAAATGTATGACTGTTTGTGTAGAGATGATTAATCCATATTGTCCAAATGTATGACTGTGTTTAGAGATGATTATTTCAAATTGTCCAAATGTATGACTGTTTGTGTAGAGATGATTAATCCATATTGTTCAAATGTATGACTGTTTGTGTAGAGATGATTAATCCATATTGTCCAAATGTATGACTGTTTATAGTTGATTAATCCATATTGTCCAAATATATGACTGTTTGTGTAGAGATGATTAATCCATATTGTCCAAATGTATGACTGTGTTTAGAGATAATTATTTCAAATTGTCCAAATGTATGACTGTTTGTGTAGAGATGATTAATCCATATTGTTCAAATGTATGACTGTTTATGTAGAGATGATTAATCCATATTGTCCAAATGTATGACTGTTTATAGTTGATTCATCCATATTGTCCAAATATATGACTGTTTGTGTAGAGATGATTAATCCATATTGTCCAAATGTATGACTGTTTAGAGATGATTAATCCATATTGTCCAAATATATGACTGTTTGTGTAGAGATGATTAATCCATATTGTTCAAATATATGACTGTTTGTGTAGAGATGATTAATCCATATTGTCCAAATGTATGACTGTTTAGAGATGATTAATCCATATTGTCCAAATATATGACTGTTTGTGTAGAGATGATTAATCCATATTGTTCAAATGTATGGCTGTTTGTGTAGAGATGATTAATCCATATTGTCCAAATGTATGACTGTTTAGAGATGATTAATCCATATTGTCCAAATATATGA